TCAGCTCTGGTGTGTATCTCCTCTGTGACACCTGAACAGCACAACCACCCCATGAAATATAGAGGGAGAAGGTCCTTCGGTGCAGGTGCTTGGGGTTCAAGTTGTTCCATCAGTAAAGGAGTTGGGAACCCAAATCTGTGGCATGCTGCTCTGGACAATGTTCTAGTACCTCAAATTCCATTACACCTACTAGAAGCCTACTGCAGTTATTTAAAAACAGTTACCTACTCATGCTAAAGACATTAAACTTGAAGACTCCTGCCTTCAGGAGCCCTCTATAAGCATCTCTTAACAGATTTTCACTGCTCTGTTCACTATACTTTCACTTGGTTCTGCATCCAGGTAAAACAATAACTACTATTATTTCATAAAGAAGTAAACGCATCTCTTTGCCTAATGAGATTCTAATCTGCTTTCCACCTAGAAGGCTGCCAACACTTGGAGGTGTGTCTGACCATCTGCCTGTCAGCTAGGCTACCGCTACAATACATTATATATTTATGGTGCAGCCCAGAAAGGAAGGTTTGACTGTAGTTCATTACAGCAGGTGAAAGCCACTGAAATTTGCTTGGATCCTTTTAGTACTGAGAATTATTCATGTAACACAGGGGTGGGAAATAAGCTGTTGTGTCTCTTCCTCAGAGATATTTCTCCTTTAACTGTTTCAGAATTGCATATTCCTGGGATTCCCAAAGAGTAGGGATTGGGGGAAAAAAAAACCAAAACCAAAAAAACCCAAAAAACCCCAAACATTTTAAGCAACCTAAAGTCAAGGTTCAGAAGGGCTTGCTGTAAATGGAACGACACAGTTTTTCTTTCGTCGATTTCTTTTCTTTAAAACACCATGATTACATATCATAGAAGGGACATAAAAACAGAAGCCAAGATAAAATTTTAAGATTCGTTGCAAAGAATAGACCTATTGCTCACAAACTACAATTCTTCTAGCAGCACAGATATTTCAGAGACATTCAGAGCCACAGAATAATATCCAATAATCATCACTTACAGAGGCAAGCTCAACACTTGTCAAATCACACATACTGAAAGCTATAGAAATATCACATGTTCATGAAGAGGGGGGCGTGGGGGGGAGAACCACAAACCTGCAATGCAGTTTTGCCATGAAAGCCTGGACAACATTCAGTGGTTGGATTTCTCTCTTACATTGTCATGAAACAAGGTGAAGACTATATAATATAAACACCAAGATTTTCTTTTCCCTAGAAAGTACCTGGCAGTTGAGAAGAACTTAATGAAAGCAATTCAACTGCAGATTACAATGGTCCCCTACAACAAGGTTTGCTCTTCTTCTCCTTGACAGTGTTCCACATTTGCATGCCAATTTTATCTCTGAAGATGAATGAAGCGTTTTGAACCATTCATCATTCAAAATACTCCTGTCTGAGCAAACATATCTAAGACCCGACAGAAAAGGGGACACCTTACTACGCTATACTCTGCAGGCAAAATAACGAAGTTCCAGAATTTGATTCATTCAATTCAAATTTCCAGAACTCCCATTCAACGTGATACTGTGGAAATCCAAGCATAGGGAATAGAATTGGGCAGTCTCCCCCTCCAAAACGCAAAGAATTTTGTGATTAATCAGGATTAATTCAATGGACTCTCATTTTGACTGAAACCAGCCATTTTAATCCATTTTTTAAAAGTTTTTCCTCATATTCTGAGGCTCTATGGTCAGATTAAATGATCTGAAATTAATAATACCAAGATGTGGTGTTGTAAGTAATGAGTGGTGTTGGAAACGCCTGCTACCCAGGCTGTAAACTTGCTTGTCCATTCGTTACCAGCAAGTAGATGATACCATAAAAACAGAAAAACAAGGAGAAATATTTTCTTAAAACAATATTTTGACTTAAAAAAAAGCATGAGTGCACTTTGCAGTGTTACCAGCCATTATTAAAACTTGCTCTACTTGGTACAAACAATGGAGACCGTCAAGATCCAAACAGCTCATGTTTTCCCTGTATGTACCCAGTGCTTTTCCTCATGCGGGCTTGTGTCAATACAACCCAGGCAATTAAAACGCAAATGCTCTGATGAACTTACTTGGTCTACCAAATGAACTACTCAAACGTCTGTTAAATTTGCAATATACCCCTATGAATATTTAGAATAACGTCCTTTTTATAGTAAACCTTGAGTACTATGGAACTGGTTACCAGATACTAAAGGCTTTGCTTAGCCCTTCAGGAGGTTTCTGCAGAGATTTAAGCATCCTCACTCAGGACCAACAAATGATAGCAAACAAACTATGAAAGCCTGACAGTCAGTGATGGATTGTGTCTTAGAGATGGTGACATAAGTGGCATCCTGTTCAGACACCACTGAAGCCCATGAATCAATGGCACCGCTCAAAGAAGGAAGTCAGACCTTCCAACAGATCTCAGCTTGTGTGAACAACTGTACATAAGATGAAAGGGCTTATCAATTTAGAGATGCAAACAAGGAAAAAGCTTCCAATTTATCATGGTAAGTTTCAGGAATGGTAATGTGAAATTGCATTAAATTAGTTATGTGATGTCAGATTAATCCTTAGATGATCACAGGGGCAGGTTAAAATAGTATATGTATTTTTGCTGATTAAGGTAATAAGAAAGACCCAGATGTGACTTATCCCAGAGGTGAGAATCATCCAGCTTCATTACAATAAGCAACATACAAATCCGTAATTGTGAAAAAGACACACATAAGGAAAGTAGAATAGATACTTAAGGATTGTCACTTCCACCTCATCTCACAGAATGGCTGAGGTGGGAAGGGATCTCTTGAGATAATATTGCCAACACCCTGTTCAAGCAGGGCCACATAGAGCGCAGGGCCACATAGAGCCAAGGACCATGACCAGCTAGATTTTTAATAACCTCACAGATAGAGACTCCATAATCACTCTGGGCTATTTCTTTCAGTCTCAGAAATTATTTTCTCATGTTCTGCTGGAATTTCACAGGTTTTAGGTTGTGTACACTGCCTCTTGTCCTGTCACTGGGCACTACTGACAAGAGTCTGGCTCCCTCTTCTTCATTCCCTCCCCTCAGCTGCAGACTTCTCCAGGCTGAACAGTCTCAGCTTTCTCAGCCTCTCATGAAAGATGCTCCCTCCAGTCCCTAAAATCACTTCATGGCCCTTTGCTGGATAACTACAGTATGTCAATGTCTCCCTTGCACTGCACCTGGAAAGAGAACTCGAGATGTGGCCTCACCAGTGCTATGTAGAGAAGATCTTTATGCAACAAAAGTCATAATCAGGGCAAGACAGGGTCAACTCCAGAATGAATTGAACTCCCAAAATGAAATATTTTATGACGACACCTCAACACAGGGCAACCATACAGTAACTCCAAACTTAAGTTCTTTCACTGCACCAAATTAAGCTAAATTCACTCAAACCTAGAATCATCATGATCCATGCCAGGAACCAAATAGAATGAATCTGTTTCCATAAAAATCTTCTGCAAAAATCTACATTAAAATGAAGTTAGTATTTCTGAGTTAATTATCTCCAAATTATTTAATATTAATAGATCATATAATATTGCTACACTGCTGGTCTTCACAAAGTTTTGGTAACAAGAACTATATACATATCACTGCTCATGATGGAAAGTAAAGACAGACAAAAATGGGGTGAATTAGTGCTATGCTACGGAAATCAATGCAGTTTCACCTTATTTTAATACCAAAGGACACCCTTTCCATGTAAGTATACATTTGCACTCTGATGATACGCAATGGAAATAAAACGATTGTTGTCTCTATACATCAAATTCCATTTAGGGTACCAAAAAGATACGAGGTATCTCTTCCCCCAAAAGATCAGTCTGATTTTTACTGTTTCCTTGTGAAAGATCCAGGCTCAACTAAAGCAGATCAGGAATAATTTTTCTAAAAAATAAGTTATGGCCATTGGTAGAACAGACCTGAAAATCTGCAGGAAAGCAAACTTCATTGCTATCACATGTCCATCTCTACTAATGTGTCATCCTCTGGAATAAGAGAATTAATTTTCCTTGTACCCTACAAAAATCTACACTGTATCTTCCATACATCCATTTCATTACTGTGCACAGCACTAAGCCAAGAATAATTAAAATGCAGGCACTTGAGTAATACCATTCATTTAACACAACCATGTTTAACTCTACAAGGGTTCAGCTTAATTTACCTCTTAAATAGGTCTAAAAAGATATTGGAATACATCAATTAATTGGGACTCTTTGCCAGAAAATTACTTCACTGCTCAAACATACATTTTGTGAAACTTTCTGTAACTTTGCACAAGCTTTATTTAAGGGGATTAGACATTGGAGGCTTAACTATTGCTGGTTTTAAAAAATCCACTCTAAATTGCTAAAACTTAGTAAAAACATTTTAAAAATACTAACTGAAAAGTTGCAGTCAATAAAAAAAAACCCCACTAATTCAATATTTGGGCCTTCTCCCTTAATTTTCTTCCATCTGTATATTTTGGAGTATGGTCTGTTTACTTCTTTCATTACACAGGAACAGCTGCATAATTAGTCACTGAACTGATTGCAAGAAAATTGAGCTGATAATGTAGTTATACATCATCTGTAGTTAATATCTTATAAATTTATGAAAACGGTATTTTTTACATATATGAATAAAAGTAAAAGACAAAAACAACTGGAGTCTACAGTGTGTGCTAGCAATCATTGCGGGTGGGTAAACTGACAACATGTAACTGCATATTAAGACAAATGTAGAATTTAGACAAAGTATTCCATCTCTTTTCAGATGTATACTTTTAAACCTCAGGAACTGTTTTCAGTAGATGTCATGCCTTTTAACTTGAAAAAAGATAAGCGCAAATAAGCTCCCAATTGTCTCCCCAATATGTAAACCACATCTCGGGCTGCTGTCTCTGTTTCGCCTTTGAAGTTTCCCTGAAATGTCATGTGTTGTGAAGACTGCTGTGCATAAGCAAGACAATTTGCTCACTCTCAGAATTCTTACCGGTTTCCACTGCTATTTGGTATCCAGCCTCTAGTCTCCGAGATGACCTTTCCAGCCTCTCTGTGTTATCGAGCAGATGTGCCCTCTGAAAAAGAAAAGGGGAGAGAGAGGAAAAAAAATAATTCAGGCAGCAGTCTACAATGTTCTCCCCCCTTTCTAATTGTGCTTTCATATTCCAAAACATAAAAATACCCACGTATATTTATGGAAGAGCCTGTTACAAGGACCACTGGAAGAGGCAGGTTCTATGATCAATCATAATTATGTGTACCAATCATTTTTGTTTTGAGACACAGAATACGTGCTTCACTTTTATTACGTGAACTCACAAAACAGAATGCGACTGTTATATGGGAAACGTGTCTGAGGGGCATTTCCAAAATAGATTTCCCTGTGACACACATATGCAAGCACCCATGATTTCTATTCAACTACAGCTTGATGAAACCGTCACTTTTAAATGCAAGTGGTAGTTTTTAACATGAACTTAATTTTCAGCGGAGGACATATTTCCTTTATTTGTACTAAAGTGAGGTGATAAAAACAACGAGGTATTCATACAGAATACTGAACAGCATGAATATTCTTCAGACTGTTTGATGTAAAAATATGTAGAAACAAAACACTGGTTTCTTGATTTACATCTCTTATGCCTAAATATATATATGAATATATAAATAATCTACACACACTCAGGTATAAGATATTTTTTCCCAGAATTCATTTGCCCAATTATGAGATAGCAATAAACTCTAGTAAAAATGCATCTTCCAACACATTTACACCTGGGAAGTCTGTAACAGTGGAAAAGTGAAATTGTTATTTTAATTAGTTTATTCTCCATACAAAATGCCAATATTTCAACACGTAAGCTCATTTCCTTCGGAAATTTGATCCTAGATTAGCTCTTGCAAGCCATCACAAAATAGAAAGGACTTCCCCCC